TAATTACTAAATGTGAAGAAAGGTTCCATCTTTGGTCTTAGTTCTTAAACTATCCATCCTCCCTGGGTGAAGAAATATTTTACTTTGGCTTCATCTCTTGCTTTTAGGCTGACAACTCCAAAGTTCTATTTTTAGCCCAGAATTTTCTCCTGCAATCTTTGGAAGAGTATCTAATTGCCAATTGGGAGTTCTGCAAGTAGTAATCACATGAGCATCTCAGTATCTTTTCTTAATTTTTCCCACCAAACCTGCTCATCTTGTATTAGTCATTTGTTTGAAAGGCTGGAAACTTAGGGATCATCTTCCATTTCCTCCCTCATTAAAGTGTTCTGTGTTCTATGTTCTACTGATTACATTTCCTTCTCTTTATCCCCATGGTCTATATCTCACCCAGGCTTTTGTTATTTGTAATTTAGGTCACTAATAGCCCCTGAATTCATCTCACAATCTGCAGAATTATCTTTCTCCAATTCACTCTCAAAAATCAGCCCCCCACACACTGATCTTACAGTCTTAGCCAGTTCTCAACCTGCCTCCCTGCTGCTTTTGAAGTGTTTTTGTTTTGTTTTTAAAGTTGTGGCATCCTTCCTTTTTGTTTACCTGACTTAATTCAACTTCTCTTTTGAGACTCAGCTCAGGCACAGTCTCTTACTACCATGTATTACAACTGCTTATTAAAACTGTTGTACCCCATGAGGATGTAAGCTCTTGTAAGTAAAGGATCATGTCTTTTATTCATCCCCGGTATCCAGCTAACGCTGACAAAATGACATTAAAAAGTAAGTTTCTTTAAAAATGAATGAAAAACAATTACATTTTAAAAATGTAAGAACAAGGATATGTCCTGGGAAGTGGGAGTTCATTCCAAATTTAGGGCTCTACATCATGTCTAAAGCACAGAAATGTTCCTCATAATATTGGTACTATGTTCTCAAGAGAATGTGAAATTAATAGTTATGTTTCCTGGCTGAGAAATTTTCTTATAAAACTCAATGGGAAAGATATAGGTATTAATATTGAATATCAAACTGGTTGAAGGAAAAAAATGCATCTGCTTAAATGTAGAATAAAAGCACAGACTTTAGAATTAGAAGATTTGGGTTCAAATCTTGAGTTTCATTAACTAGTTATTAGAGCTTGAACAGGGATGCCCAGCTACCTTCAGAAGCTATGAGAACTAGATTAGCTAATACATGTAAGATATCTAGCACAATGCCCAATAATACCAAGTGCTCCATAAATAATAAATATTAACATAAATTATGAAGATACTTTATTAAGTGCTATACATTTTATAAGACTTTATATACATACATAAAATAGCTCTGTAGAAATTCAGATGAAGGAGAAAACATCACAGATATGCAGCATTCAGATAGGTAAAAAAAGATGAGCAATTTAGGGGGCAGAAATGGTTTTATAATTAAAGAGACAAAGGTACTTTCTGGCTATTAACATCTATGACTATAATATACAGGTGCTATGAAATAAACTGTGCCCCCCGCCCCCACCCAAATTCATATGCTCAAGCCCTAATCACCAATGTGACTATATTTGGAGATAGGCTCTTCAGAAGGTAACTAAGGTTAAATGAGTCATAAGAGTGGAGTCCTATTCTAATAGAACTGTGGCCTTAGAAGAAGAAGGAAAAATCTGTTTCTCTCTCTCTCATATGAGAACAAAGAGAAGGCTGATGTCTGAAAGCCAGGAAGTGGGCACTCACCAGCAACTGAACCCTGCTCCACTTTGATATTGGACTTTCCAGCCTCTAGGCTCCTGAGAAAATAAATGCCACCCCAGTCCATGGTGTTTTGTTATGGCAGCCTGACCCACTCAAGAAAATACAAGACAGGAACAGAAAATAAAACCGGTAAAGTAGGTTGATGCCACATTGTGGTGATTCTTGCTTGGTAGCCTGAGGATCTTGGGTATTTTCTTGTGGACACTTGTCAACAGTAGGACAGACATAAAACATTCCTGATAATGGTCAGTATTAAAGTAGGAAAGGAAGTATGTAAAAAACACAGGCACTGGGTATAAAAAAACAAACAAAAAAACCCAAACACCCATAGGACTCAAGAGTAAGAGGGCCAGGACTCAAGTTCTAGTTCTCCTTTGTGATTCTATGTCCTTAGGCAGGTTCCATGTGGAACCTCAACTTCCTCCTGTGTACAAGAGTAATAACATAAGCTATTCCCAAGGGATTTCTATGGGTATGCGATAAGTGAAAATGATTTGTAAGCTTTAAGGCACTATATGAATGCAAGGTATTTATTACAGAAAATGACTGTAAGAAGAATTCTATGTGAAAAAGACTGTTAAAACATTAGATAAGGACATATGAAGTGTGCTTCAGGAACAGATAGCAAAAAGTTCACTTGAAATGCTGTATGAAAGCTTGCATCTCTAGAAGATAAACTGCAAAATAATTTACAGAGTATTCATATATAAAACTGCAGTGTACCTTTTTCACCAAATGGCATTATAACATTCTAAGTAGTCCTTTGCATAATAAATAAATAGAACAAAAAGGTTTTCTTGTCTTCCCCACTTGTTCTCTCCTCCTATCTCCTTTGCTCTTTTAAAGGCAGGTTTATTGAGGTATAATTTACATACAGTAAAATTCATACCTCTTGGGTATACAGTTTTGACATAAAGCTTATATAATGTATAACCACTACTTCTGGTAATCTCCAAACCTTTCCCATGTTCCTTTGTAGTAAATCCCTCCCTCACCCCAGGTACTCACTTACCTGATTTGTGTCCCTAGAGCACTGCCTTCTCTAGAAAGTTATATAAATACAATCATACAGTGTATATGTAGTCTTCTGTGTTTGGCTTCTTTCACTTAGCAAAATGCTTCTGAAATTAGTCCATACCATACTGTTGCAAATATCAACAGATTATGGCATCTGAATTATTTCTAGTTTGGGGCAATTACAAATAAAGCTGCGGTAACAGTTAACAGGCCTTTGTATGGACATATGTTTGCATTTCTTTTGGGTAAAAAAATACCTAGAAGTGGGGCTGCTAGACATTGTGTCAAGTATATTTTTAATTTTATACAAAACTGCCAGACCGTTTTCCTTTTCTTTTCCAATGAGTAATGTATGAGAGTTCCGGCTACCTGGCATTCTCTCGTCAGCACTTGGGACTATCAGTTTGTTCAATTTTAGCCCTAGATTCTAGTAGGTATGATGTATCTCGCTATAGTCTTAATTTGTTTTTCCCTAATGACTAAAGATTTCAGCATCTTTTCATGTGCTTATTTGCTACCCATTTGTTCTAAATTGATATATGGAAATACTCAACATAGCTGTTATATTTTGTTATGGATACATATACAGCATGTACTTATAAATATACCACTATGCAGAACTGCAATCTAATTGTCATCTGAAAAACTGCGAGGACAGCACATATATGCAGAAATCACTAAAATGGCCTACAAGAACTAAAATATTCATTTCATCAATGTACATTCATTCACTGGGCATTGAGAAAATTAAAAAAAAAAATTTAAGAGGATTAATTTCCATAGAAGAGTAGTGCCAACAAGCCATCCCAGAACCTGGACCAGCTGGTTTCATGAAAAAAATTCTAGAAAACATTTAAAGGAAAGGAAATTCTAAAGTGATTCCAAAGCATAAAAAAAACTAGAAATCTTCAGATTATACTTATGACATAAGCAGAATATTGACACCAAAAAGTAAAACTGTAGACCAATCTTATTTATGAATGTCAATGCAAAAATCCTAAATGATACAGTAGCAGTGAACTGAATCCATCAGTATAATAAAACAAAAAACAAAAAACAGAGCCAAGTGAGGTTTATTACACAATGTAAAGCTGGTTCAGTATTAGGCAATCTTTTAATAGAATTCGGTGTAATAACATCTAAGGAGATGGACTAGGCTGGTGTCAGCCAACTCTGGCCAATAGGTTGGCTGCCTGTTTTGTAAGTAAAGTTTTATTGGAACAGGGACCTGCTCATTTGATTACATATTGCCTATGGCTACTTTTGCACTACAAGAGCAGTTGAGATGTTGCCACAAAGACCTTATGACCTAGAAGCCTAAAATATTTACTGACCGTTTAAGAAAAAGTTCACCAACTCATGCATTCAATGATCATTTTTATAGATGCCTAAAATCTGTATAACAAAATGCAAGGATCACCTAGAATTTTAATTCAGAGTACAGTGATTGTTCTCCTAACAGTCAATTTCCTGTATGTCTAATCAATAAAAACAAGTAAAAAATGTCTTTCCTTTTTTTTCAATTACACATTAACTGAAAGGTGAAGTGAAATAAGACCCTTATTTTTTCATGATTTAATTTTATAAAACTACTTATTACATAATGGTGAAACTTTCATGCATTTATTAAGTCAAAACAAAACAAAACTCAGGTGCAGAAGTGTCTATTATTACCAACTGTATTAAAAAAAGGAGGATGTGTATTCCTATTTATTTGTAAATTCATAAAAAAAATCATATGTAAAGAGACACAAAAAACCAAAAAAAAAAAAAAATCGTATTTACTTATTTGGGTTTTGGTAGAATCTGGCCAATGAGGGATGTGGTAGAAATGAGAAATTCATTTCATATTTTTATATCCTCTATAAATTTTGAGCCATGTGAATGTACTACCTACTCCTCTGACAAAAAAAAACTCACCTCAAATAGATATGTAAAAAATAATAGTGTTCCTTGTGGTTTGAAAATATTTTATAAATTATAAATGGATTACCTGTTCTATGTAAGAATGAAATCTGATTACAGGTAGGAGATGGCCAGGCCATCTTTGTTGACAAAGACAGATATTAGAGTAGTTTGGCTTTAATCTCTCACTGTCCCTAAATTTATTTTACACAATTTTCATGGATTTTGGACCTGATGGGACAAATGAAAATGTATAGTTTCTTCCCAAAACCTCAGATAATATTCCGAACGATTATGATTCTACTAAATCATTTTACTTAAATAAATAAATACATACCATTATCTTCTTCAATTCCAACAGGCCCTGCTTGAGGAGTCTCTCCATTCTTTAAACAATTATGGATATATGTTGCCTTCCACCTTGCATACTTCCTGTGTTTCACATTCTAGAAGGAATATTTTTATATCAATATTAAATTTCAGTAAGAAGTAAAAATATGTATTTATGATAACCTGTATGGTATTTCTGAGATAAAACCCATTTTTGCATGTTATATCTCTGAAACAATCTGGCAACCTCCCCACCCTACCACTGGATTCTACCAACTGTCTAGGGTTCAACAGACCACAAAAAGCTATCTTCCTGAAAACACATGCCTAGTCCTCTCTTATGATTCTGTATTTCAGAAAAGGTCTGCAATGGAAATATGGGAGTGTCCTTCAGCAAAACTTGTAACTCTTATGCACCTGGGAGGACTAGGTTAAATGGAATTCTAAAATTAAATATAAAAGATAGTAACAGTAGATTGAGCTATTTCCACCAAAGAGGAAAAAATTGATCTGTACAAATCTATGAAAACACATTTGTGAAAACAAAAGGAAAACTAAGATGATGCAGGGGTTAAAACAAACAAACACTAGACAGACAGCTAAGCAAACTTGACCTTTTAACCCATAGCACGCTACTTACCAGCGCTGAATCTCAGTTACCTCAATTCCAAAAAGGGGAAAATAATACCTCATGGGGTTGTTGTAAGAACTGAAAATATCAGTAAAGAACCTGCTAGGTGCCTTTTCTTTTCTGCCTTAAAATTCATGCTACACACTATAAAATTAAGACAAAAATTTGCTTTAAAAATATAAAAAAAGTATAATCTGTTAGAATTTTGGATGGGTTAATTTTTACTTTATATTTCAACTGACCTTTATGACACTCATGGACCAGTGGTACTGGTATCAACTGGCAGCTTATTAGAAAGGCATAATCTTTAAACACATTCCAGACCTAACTCAGAATCTGCACTATAACAAGATCCCCAGGTGATCTGTATGCACATTAGAGTTTGAGATAAGACACTTTTCATTATGTTGAAAACAACTGTAATGTGCCTTTTGCAAAGAACCACTACATCAGGGATAAGTACAAACATAGTATACAGCACAGATACTTAGTTGAGCATTTTATGCAAAATTATCTAGATACTACTACAGATAAGTATATAGAAACCTAAAAGAAGTAACGCCCAAATTACTGAATTTGTATATTTAATTTCCCTTTTCTTATCAAACAATCCTCTTCTATATTCCACTAAAAACAACTTTTCTACATTGATTTCCATTTTCTTCCAGGTATGATTATAATTTATTCTACTTCACAAAGAAGCTTTTCAAAAGAAGCAACCACATTTAACATTTTCACTTCCTCACCAGCTAATTCACTCTAGAGAGAAAAGAGTTTCTTTCATTTGGTTCTTATTTTCATCACATAAAAGGTCAGAGAATTTGAATGCGCCATGCCTTTTAATGGCAGTGAGCCCACGTGTGCCAGCCCCCACCTCACTTAAGTTGTTAGTTCACTTAAGGAATGTGCTCAGTGTCACCAACAGCCCTCTCCACGCTGGCAAATCCAACAGACACTTGTAAGCATCACCTTACCAAACCTTTCATCAGCATACAAAACATCGAACCATTCCAAACTCTGAAACATTCTCTATTACAGGTTTTTGTGACACTCTTGTTCTCCTGCTTTCCCTCCTATCTTTGGGTACTAATCCTCTGTCTCATCTCCAAATAAATTTACATACCCTGTCCTAGCAGATACTGTAAATGGGTGGGCTCAATCAATGGATTCATATATAATTTTAAATATGAATTATGTTTCTACATACTTAAGTACTAGGAAAGTCACTTACTAATGAAGGGAATTACTACAAATTTCCAGTGATTTAAAATTTCCCTATTTTTGGGAAAACCTAAGCTACAGATAACCTCAACATTTTTTAGGCTTCTTTAATAATTGCTATTAGTTAAGACCTTCAGATAGGTAATATGGGAGACATAAAACAAGCCAATACAGTGACTTCTGCCCTTAGAGAGCTGATCATCTTATTATGGATATAGATCTAAAATACAAAAGAATATTACTATAAAAATTTAGTAGGTAGAAAGTATTGAACTTGTTTCTTTAATACGTCCATAATAATGGACAAATGATAAAGTAAATGGTACTTTTAGCTTGGTCTTACAGGATGGGTATGATGGAAAGTAGCAGTAAGACTATCCTGGGGAGAAGTAAAAGAATAAGCAAAGGCAGAAAGGCAGAAGTAAATGAAGTGTTTAGAGAATGATGGTGAAAAAGTAAATTTGCCATTGGTGGAAGATACATACTATGGACTAGTTGGATAAGTAAGAAAAATCCAAGACAAGAGTAAAGCTGTGGACCAACATCTTTATAGTACCCTATGGGTTTTGAAGCACTTACACATTTTTCTCTTAATCAGTCCTCACAATAAACTTGAAATTTAGGCAGGTCACATTTTACTCCAAGGCTCTGAGACATTAAAAGACTGGGTCAATGTAAATACAGTTTAACCTGGCATTCAAGGCCTTCCACATTGTGGATACTGTTTCAGTCTGCTCTACTTCCTAATATCTCCCCTCAATCCAGATGAGATTCTGTCTCACCTGCAATCTTTTCTCATGCTAGTCTTCCTATCTAACATGGCTTCCTCTTCTGATAAAAGTCTCCGCAGACTTTCAAATGTTTACTCTCTTATCAACCTCCCTGACTACCAGCAAGTGAAGTAATCATTTATTCAAGTCAGTTACAGATGATAAGTGCTGGGGATAACAGGATGAACAAGGTAGGTCTGAACTTCAGAATCTAAAGTGAAAGCTAGGCAGTAATTTCCATCACTAAATGTGGCATCTGTATTACCTGAAATCTACGATATTTTCTTCACCTTTTTCTCTTAGGATTCTGCAATCCCATTATTATAAATATGAGGAAATGGCAGTACAAAAGTAAATGACTTACCCAAGGTCACACTATTTTGCAGTGAAGCGATCCACTCAATTCAGGGCTACCTTGATAAGCATACTACAATTTGCAACTCAGATGGGAATATATGAAATAAGGTAAAACTGGCTTTAAAACGTCAGCTACTTAATGCATATTAACATAGGCTATAACTTGGTATATATTAAGAGGACCCTTTTGAAAGAAAATGTATAAATTGCTTAGGAAAGTTTAATTTGCCTTCTTTTGGGATCTTTAAAATAGGACAGACTATTCTTCGCTCAAAATAATTTAACACCATCTAAAGACTAAGTTGGATTAAGTTGTATTGTGATAACTTTAGGAGGTTCCTTCATTCCTAATTTCATAGTAAAAAATAGTGTAAAGATGTTTAAACCACGTTGGGTTCCTTCATTAGTATGTGAAGTTTAAAAACGTTACTCTAACCTGAGATGGTTTCATTTTAGTAAATACATTTTACAAAATTTCCCCAGAGCAGATAAATCAATACAACCATTTATTTTTTACTCCGCAATTATTTCAAGACAACCCTGCAAACTGGAGCTTATACTACTTCACAGAAGATTTTGGCAGTTGTAACTCAAAATTAATTTGTTTTTTAATTTTGTTTTCTTTAAAATAAAGGATGCTAGATATCAAAGAATATTTGAAGAGGAAAATTTCAAGATGTCAATATTTTTGAGATCTTTTAACTCCTTTTGGCTGATTAGACATCCTTTCTGGGAAACAGGAATTACAAAAAGAACTTTTACTTTTGTCCCTGGCCTCTAAGTTCCTGTTTTGTAACTGGATTGATGAGAGTCACTGACAACTGCAAATTTTGGCCATGAGAGTCAGCAGTGGTAAGGATTTTCATTTTATTTTTAAATCATGTGCACTTGCTACACACAAGAATGACTGGTTAGCAAATGCCAACCACAGGCTACAGCAGGGGTTCTCAAACCTGGTACATATAAGGATCACATGAGGATATAATAAAAAAAATAAATTCTTAGCCCAAACTATGGAAAATCTGATGAAAATCATTTTCTATTATAATGCCAAAAAGCCACCATGAAAGAGAATGCTCCCATTCTTCCTCTTGGATTTCTGTCTTGAACCCACCTAGTCAAGTTTCTATCCCACTACAATTGCTTTTGTCAAGGTTACAGATTACTTCTCTCTTGCAAAATCCAAAGCTTAGAGATCATCCTACTTGACTCTATCAGCATGAAAAGGTGAGCACTTCGTCCTCCTTGCAATGTCCTTTCACTGGGTTTCCTGGTTATCAGGGTCTTCCGGTTTTCTCTGCCTTGCTGGGTGCTCCTGATTCTTTTTATCTACAGGGTGGGGAACATGCCACAAGCTTCAGTTCTTGGACTTCCCCTCTTCTAACACTTTACCTGGGCAATCTTATCCAGTGTAATGGTTTTATTTTTTTTTAAAGATTTTATTTATTTGACAGAGAGAGACACAGCGAGAGAGGGAACACAAGAAGGGGGAGCAGGGGAGGGAGGATCAGGCTTCCTGCCGAGCAGGGAGCCCGATGTGGGGCTCGATCCCAGGACCCTGGGATCATGACCCAAGCCGAAGGCAGACGTTTAACGACTGAGCCACCCAGGTGCCCCAAGTGTAATGGTTTTAAATATCACCTTATGCTGCCAACTCCCAAATTCATATCTTCTGCTCAGTTTTCTCTTGTGAACTTTCAATTCACCTCAACATTTTACTTGTACGCCTGATAGTTCAAAGCATTCAAAGTTCAACACCAACTTCTGATCTTCTCCCACTAATTTTGTTCTTCCATGTCAGTAAATGGCAACTCCTTTCTTGCCGTTGTTCAAGCCCAAACCACTGGAGTCATTTTTAGTCCTCTATTTCTCTTAAAATCTACCAACAAATCTTTAAAGTCTGTCAGCTCTCCATTCAAAATATATTCAGGGTCCAACTACTTCTCACCACCTCATCTACTGCAAATTCTGGTCTCAGCCAGTATTACTTCTCACTTTGATTATTTAAAAACGAACTAATGGGTCTCCCTACTTCCATCCTTGACCATTAGAAAGAAATATTCTATTTTATTTTAATAAATTATTTATGAAATACTTTAAAAAATAGCACTTAAATCCCATCAATTCTGGTTGAACT